ATCATAATTATAGTATAATATTATTTTTGCGGCGGCATCCATATAATTGAAGAATATGTCATTTTATTGTCAAATTAGGCTTTTAAACTAAGCTTATATTAAGTTCAAAAAAAAATATTTTCTACATGTTTATTATATCGTTGGAGGTGCTATACCGATTTGAATTTGATCTAAAATAGACGAACGAGCTCGATGTAGGCTATTTTTGACTGACTTAAAAAAGGAGGAGGTACTCAAATTGGTATGATAGCGCGAATAGCTCCGCGGGTATGATCTAGTATATAACTTTACATATGAACTTTGAAGAATATCGAAACAAAACTGTTCTTTTGAGAGATTTATACAAACGTATGTTTTAACCTTATTCTCTTATCATTATTATTTAATTTGCTGTGTCCTTATTAATTCAAATGCATTTTTTCTCTTCACATGCGCAAGAGTAGTCATTTATTTGTTTTCCTTATAAGTAAAGGTCGTTTATAGTGACTTCTTAGATCATCATCACCCTTTTTGCGTGTTACTTTGATTATTGTGATGTAAATCGCTACATCAGTGGAATATTTCCTTACTATACGGAATAAATAAATATTTAAATATGTTACTCGTATCGAATAAATATGTGCCATACCCATTTTCAACTATTTTAAAAGGTTTTTAGAGTAGGTAATTCCATAACTGTTCAGTATATTTTATAACATTGGAAGGTTTATTTCATACCTTTGAAACCTGTTTTGGTACTTTCTATCGTAACATATAAAATACATTTAAACGATGACGCCGCGAATCTTGCCAGTAAAGCCGAAAATACTCTTATGCAACATTCTGATTTGTATTTCAAGTGTTTATGAAGCTAAAGCTTGGAAAAGTATGATATCCAATCAAGATAATTTTTTTATCAACTTTCTTTTCTTAGATGGCTTACCTAATAGGTACCAAATTATTACTTACGTATAAGTATCCAGTATTCGCTAAACGTAAAGAACTAATATGTAGTGGGAATACGTACGTAAATAGTTGGTAAATGATATATGCATGTCACTAAGTTATCATGCTTTAAAGAGCGACTGTCAAAGTTCAAAGATTTAGAATTTTAAAAGCTGTTTTTCTGATGAATAATGTTTATTTTACCTCTACATATTTAAAATGCTAATAATATCTGACTACGAAATATTATACTTAAAATAAAAAACCTGGTATTTTTATTGTGTAATATAGAGTAGGTCGTTTACACTTTATTGGATTTGTTTTTCACATACTGTGAATATATAATGTAAAATGATTGAATAATCATAATATATAAGAAGAAAATACTAATAATATTATTTTATTATTAATATTCCAGTACTGTGCGAATTAGGTATATTAAAACGTTTATTAAACTCAAGCAAGGGTTTATCAAAATAAGTTATATAAAAATATTTTTCAGCGTGAATAGCGGATTACAATATGGTGGGATTTTAATATTTTATTCTTGTCAAATAGGAATTTAAAAAAATACAATTCAAAGTAAAAATTCCAAAATAAATGACTAAATACTTTGGGTTTTTTACAACTGCATAGTCCAGTATTTCTATTGTAAACAATCGAATCCTATACGATGTAGCGTATGAACAATAACCGTTATGGTATGATCGCTTGACAATGGCGCTTTATGTAGAACAATTTAAAAACTATTTTTAAATAACTTTATTCGATTTACTCTAGTGAAACATTTAAAACAATATCCTTCCTGGTTTCCTCGCAGATTTATTATTTGAAAAATCAAAAAGAATAATTAAAAAATTGTATAGAATTGCATATATGTACATTTTTTTTTAATATTTTTAAATAAAATAATCTCTATGAGTCTATATAATTTATGAAAATTTTAAGTTTGTTTTTCTCTGTATTCGGAGAGTAGCGGGTATAGAATAATTAAGCCGTTACGTAAATAGACCTATTTGAAATTGAAATTATTTGCAAATAACATTATAAAGATAAATCCCATAAATCTTATGTTATCACCAGCACTTAGCATAATGTTCTGTTAAATTAGACTCGTTAGAAATACTATCAGTTCTGGTTATTATATTATATTTACTTAGAAAGCAAGTACGAAATGTTACGAAATGACCGTGAAATGAGAATATAAAACTCACTGTTACTCCACATCCAGTACAATAACATAATATCAAGATTGAAATATATTTTATACTTCAAAATCAACCTTATTTCGTTGTTATAAGATAATCTCGATAGCATTTCTTTGTCGGTACGCGTTGTACAGGTCGTTGCTCGGGAGCAAAAAGGCGTACTCTACCATTAGGAGAGGCGAGATGGGTATATAAACATTTCTCTTTCTCTCTCACTCCCAGCCGTACGTTTACATCGTTATAGAATTGGTACTATAATGGTCCAATCATAAACTAAAATTTTAATGATAATAATATGTATGTCACTTAAAATCATTGTTTAAACAATAACAAATGATCAAATAAAGCAATCCTTCAAATGATAACTCTCATTCAAAAGCCCTTGGGCTAAATTAAACGACAACGATTACATATGTACGTATACTTAAATCCTTTAAGATCTGCCTATGATTTTACTCCCCTTTTCAAAGGGAAACTGTATTTGACCCCGCATAATTTATTAGTTAACCCGTATGATAATACTATACAATGCGATGTATTGAATGTCGTATAAAATAGGATCAAATTTTTCAGTCACGTATTTAGGGAACTGATATTAGAATTTTTCTATAGTAAGATTAATTAAAAATAGTTGGATTTAAAATGTCCTAATTTATAGGTAACTAGCATTGCCCGCGGCTCCGCCCGCGTTCAGATGACCAAAAACCAAATTCTTAGGCTTATTATATATATTATATATCATATATATTAGTATACTCTTACATTGCAAATTTTTGTTCTTTTTTGTCAGAAATGATATATATTTTACCGCGGTAAAAAGTATCCTAAATGTTGACCCGGATAACCAGCTATCATCATAACAAATTTCATCAAAATCCCTCAGTAGTTTTCCCGTGATGCGGTAACAGACAGACAGACAAAAATTCTAAAAACTACAGATTCGGCCTCTGTATCGATAATAATGTCTATTTCAATAAGATTTTCCAAAAAATATTTAATGTACAGATTCGGCTTAATTACATTTTTATTATATGTATAGATTGGTTGTTATTTAAAATAGGAAATATATATTTAATACATCCACGAAGCAGATTAATGTAGAAACGAAGAGCCAAACGAAATTAGTTGCAGTTATTGAACCTAACTTTAGAAGCGTACACGCCGTTTAATTGTTTGTTACTTAAAATAGTACTTCTAAACTTATACATAAGTTATGTATACATTCACTGTGTGCATAACGAATCAACTATTGTTATTTCTCTTACAAATGAATAATTCAACTGGCGTAATTCCCAAGCTTAAAGCTTATTTATCAGTGATGAATCATATTTCTATGGAAAAATATTTAAAGAATAACACGCCGCTTACTAACTTTCTTTATCTTTAATTGTCATAAAAGCTTTAGTAAAAGTTTATAACTTTATATATTAATGACTTTTTACACTTTATCAGTCTTTGTTTAAGTATATTTTTTTCCTAATTAGGGTTCAAATGTAAATGTAAATCGAGTGAAAACACGAAACCCTTCTATCGTATATTATACGAGTATAATATATTCTCCAAATGTACCTACTTAATTTTCGAATTTGCTACGTATAAAATTTATACAAATGATACACTTTACAGAATATACTCGTATATTATAGTATACCTCACTGACACTGCAGAAAAACACAACAAATTCGTAACTTTTTTTGTAAGAAAGTATTAAATTCGTAACTCTCTCATTCACATAAGTCCTAAAAGCACTTGATCAAACTTTATTATTTTTACTCGATCGGTTAAACCGTAAATGTCATAATAATTAAAGGTTAACACGAACATGGTAAGTCTTGATTTCGAAACTAGAAGACGGTAATTTAAGTAGTATTTAACGTGTTTGAGTGTTAATAAAAGTAAATTGTAGTAGGTAACATGAGAGGCAACTTGACTCATGGTTACCAAAATGAACAAAACAACTTGTGGTTATGATTGTTGTCTTAGGGTAGCAATGCCGTTACTATATCGTGTAAATAAAAGTAAATGTCACTTTTATGGGGTCATAACTTGTGTTTTATTAGGCAAATTAAATTTTGAATAAGTGAATAAGTAAACTAATAAATGTTTACCCAAATTCTAAATAAATGATTAAATATAATTTATACGATAATATTATAACAAAATTATCTATATTTACACAAAGGCCTAGTTTCGCTTTATTGCTTCAGAAATTTTCCATTTCAGGTGTCCATGACATTAACAATAAATTTAAATTGAAGTTTAGTTACAACCATTTTGCACAGTTATGTCTTGTAACATGTTTAATGTTTGATTTAGAAAGCTATTTCTCTTATTTCTGAGTATAGAAATTGAAATATTTAGTAAGTAGAATAAAAACTGAACATATAAATAAAAAGCACCATATTGAAAATATTAATAGACTTAAATGCTCTACAATTCCTTAACCCTTCACTGTATAAATAATTTTATAGTAGTAGTCTACTATAGTTCCAATGGTTGTTATAAGTACTTGAAATAAATGCAGTCGTTGGTCTTTTGAAGGTACAGTCAAAAATAACTCTCTTTAAGTACCTTTGTGTACAGATATGATGTAGGTGCGTAGTACGTAGCTTACGTTAATATAAATCAAATAAATATACCAAACATAACAAAACAACAAGACAAATATACGTATGTATGTAATAAGCCATGATTCAATACTTAATAGTTTTAATTGGAAAGAATTTCATAGCTTTTGTCAGTACCAAATGTATTAATTTAATTTCAATAAATACAGGATTAAAAAGATATGTGATCAATCAAAAATATGTGCTTAATCATAAGTGTTAATTAATTGGAAACAATGTATATGTGAGTAGTGCATTCAATATGGCGGTAACTACATCGCAAACAACATACTATGGCTCTCCAATCCATGACGGATTTGCAACTATCCGTGCCCCCAGAAGTCGAATCAAGATAAGGAATCTAGTTGAACCAAATAGTACTGCTAATCTACCTCAAAGGCATTCGGAATATTTTACATTAAATAGAACAACCAAGAGTAATTTCTTAGAGAGTAGTTGCGGTGTTCAATATGCAACGGGCGAACCACCTCCAAATATATACGTGAATAGACCTTCGAGAATCAGCTTCACTGAACCTATTTATACCAAAGTAACTCCGCCACATTCAAAAAGCAGCTCTCCAGTAAAGTGTGCTAATGGGCGACAAGAAACTCATTACGATTCAATAGATACAAAACCTCGCAGACGTTTGAAAAGCTTAGAAATGTCAAAAGAGACGGAACCAATGAAAGATGAGAAAATAAGTATCTCAAGCCTAACTAACGGCGAGCGTTATTCGCATGACACGTATGTAATGAACCAAGACGTTGAACAACATTCCGTACGCACAAATACTACGGGATCTTCTGTCGATTACCGAAAGAGAAATAGCGATCGAGATAACTGTTCCGAATCTTCTTCATACCTCACCGACAACGACCGCCCCATATCTAGTTATAGTGACAATTCTACAATACCATCTACTGACACGGAAGACGTATTAAAAGAATTGCCGAACAAATCTAGATTTCATAAATCTCCACAAAAGTTTGCTACCCTTAATATGAGAAGACCTAAATTCATAGATCTCAAACCCCCGAGTATAAACGAGAATCCATTTTACGGAAGTCTGCAACGAAACAAAATTGGGTATCATTCTGAACCAAATACCCCTTTGAATGGTGATAGCAATGATTTGAATGATACAAGTGGCATTCCAAGTGAAGTACAACAGATTCCGCGCATGCCCTTGCAAAATACTCGAAATGGTTTCAAGAGATCAGTGAGTGAAACAAACGGTTTCTCGAAACGGCTTAGCTATAGGCATTCCTTTAGCGTAGACTATAAGCCGCAACCGTTCAGTAAGAAACCACATAAATGCTGTGAATGTATAACTGGAATACCAGCTGATGACGAACGAGATCCTTCACCGTCTTCAAGAACATTGGGCACGTTATATGAATCTCAAGATCCTAAAGTTGGATGTCAAACAATTTTAAGGTCGAAACCTCCTGTGCCTTGGTGGGAACTTGCCATTAAAAAATCACGATACAAAAGCTGTCCTATCCTCGAAGAGGTACGTATTTTGCCTAATTGTTATAATTTTCTTTTTTCTACATCTTAAGAGATACGTTATTTAGAACGTAAAATTATTTGACGGGTGGTGTCTCTAGTTAATACAAGCATTATTGAGCGTAATAAGTAGTTAATTGATTTCCGCTAGAAAAAAATATAATTGAATCGGCTATCGACGGTAGCTTGTAACAGCTGCTACTATACATCGAAAGCTATAAAATATTAGTAGATATACATATATTCGTTAATATTGTTAAAATAACTTAATACGTGTTCAAGTAAAGCTTAAAAGTTAAGTAGCTCAAAATAACTAACTGAATCGTTAATGTAAATAATTTTTCAAAGTATTCGCTTAGGAACTTAAATGAAGCTGATTTAAAGCACTGGTCCAGTACCTTTGAGATTTCTATGTACGAAGTATTTTCAACATGCTTATCACTTGTTGATACGATCCTGAAACCTGCATATTTATTTTATTGAGTGTGGTGCCGAGGTCGGCTGTAGCTACGTCGACCAGTTATGGTCCATCAGAAAGAACTTAAATAGTTTTCAAAAGATGTGGGGCCCCCCACCCCTTATTTGGCTAGCATAGTGGACTATAGCCTGACATTGAGAGGAGGCCCGCGTCTTGAATAAATATTTATTTATTATAGAAGTACCTATATGGAATAATTAATTTGTTTATATACTTTTGATATAGGTACTTCGAATAAATTAGTACAAGTGAAATCATTTCCGAGTGCCATAATTTTCGCCTCATTTAAAAGTTAATTGATATTTAATTGCTTTAAAATTACTTTGCATGTTAACACGTCATTTTTTGTTTAGGAATGTGTGTAATTATAATATAGTTTTTTTTGCTGTCTATTATTGAAAAGCTTCCGGGCAGAGTAAGATCAAAGCGGTTGGTCATTTGTATGCCATAGAAAAAATATAAAAGAAAATACAGTAGCCAGAAATTTAAATAGCATGATCTATATAAACTTTTCACTGTTTTAATATTCTATGAAAATACAAACAAACAAACAAAACACACTTTCACATTTATAATATTAGTATGGATTTAAGAGGTGACATAATATATTTTATACATTTAAAATTACTTAGACTGTAGTATTTTTTATTATTTTATTAATTACATTAAAGTTTTTTTTCATGTACACCGTGATTTTTATGAGTTCCTGTTTCACATAGTTCGATTGTATGGCGTAGTCTACTTACCAGTTTAAAATTTATCGCCCATTTTCTAAGTACTTATAGGTATCCGATTGCGCTGAAATTTAGCATATCTGTGTAACTTCGGTAAGATTACAATAATTATTAGGTAACGTAGAGCTACAGATAAATAAAATTGATGTGTCTGTTTGTAATGTCAAAATAACAGTTTTTCCTAAATGCATATGAAATTGTATACATTACTATTATAAGGAAAACACAAGTTTTAAAATGTTTTTGTCTGTATGTTTGTTCCGGCTAATCTCCGAAACGGCTGAACTGATTTTGACGGGCTTTCATTGTTAGATGTTATAAGGTGTAACTTAAGCTACTATTTTTTTAGAAAAAGAATCAGGGTTCCGCTCAAAAAATCAAAACGTACGCACCCGAGCGAAGCAAGGGTGGGTGAGCGACTAGTTATTAATAAATTGAGATCACTTTCGAAATTTTAATTCTAAAAGACAGGTGCATTATAAGTTGAACTGAGATTTAACATGGCGGTTATATATAAAAAAACCTTACAAGTTCGACAAAAAACTGCTTGCTACCTGACTCCCATAGTAGTTCGTATCTCGGACAGGTGCCTTAATCTTGATTTGGAAACACATTATATTTCTTTATTATAAAATAAGGTTTCTCACGGTAATAAGAGCAATAAAAAAATACAAAAATGTTAAAAAAAAATTCATGGGCATTACATTTAAACTTTTATGTAATAAAAAATATTTATACTATACATACACATTTATGCTAAAAAGTAAAAATAATATTTACAAACTACACAAAAGAAATAATTTAATTGCTTTCTTTTATTTATATGTTATAACATAACATAATTTATATGTAAATTAGTAATTACTAAATACATTTAATTATATTTTACTTTCGTTTTTTATGACTTTTTAGAAAATTCTTTCTTTTCTTATATTATTATGAAAGCGAAATTGTGTTGGTTTGTCATTTCTCACTTCAACCAACGACATGTTAACTGTGGGCTGCATAATATCGACATGGGCTTTCGCCCAATAATGGACGACGATAGACGGAAAAATGTATAAATAACAAGATTCTATTATATATTTTCATTTATTTCTACCACTTTATTGCACACGAAAATGGTACAAAAAATACAAAAAGGAGATATACAAAGGCGGCCTTATCACTAGAAGCGATCTCTTACAGGCAACCTATAGTAAAGGATACAAGAAAATAAGTGAAAAGAGCGGAAAGTTGCATAAAGTGCAAGTAAATAAAAATACACAAAAAGTTACAAATATAAAATACTAATTTCAAAATTATGTTACTTTATTTCAGATCAAATTATATCCACGGGATATTTAAATAGTCCTAGTGACACAAAGTCCAAAAACATAATTAAGTAGAGGGTTTTGTATTGTTATTTTGACTACCTGTCGCCTTTTTACATGAACGTTACCATGAAACTGAGATACCCACCGTTTAAACAAACGTATAGTTCTATAACACCAGCCAACAGTCCAGCCTCACCCGCTATAACTACGACACACTTTCCTTACATAGCCGTGTCCGCATAGACCGTCTCTTATATTTGTTTTATGGGGATATTACAGTCCTGCAACAGTTAGTGGCCCATCTACGTGCACTATAGTCTATAGAATTACAAGTTATGGCGTAGGCAGTCATAAATTAGAATTACGATAACTTTAAACGCGATCGTAATGCTTTGTCTTATATTAAGGTGTCGTAATTTATATTTACTCTATTTAATTAAATTTTATTGAAATATATGTATAAGTGCTTTTATTTGATTTATTCTACATTCATTACATAATTGATAATATACATAATCATGTAGGAGATGCATGCATCTTTACTAACATTATTTCATGTTTGTTTGTCCTTCTTTAACTGAACGACAGCAATAGATTAACGTGATTTTGTGGATAGAGACAGGGAAGTGTAGGAAGTAGCATAGGTTAGTTGTTATACAGCCATATACAATGGTTCATATAGCATGTTTGTATATAGCAAAAAGGCGCTAGCGTCTCTTTAAGGATACCTTTAGAGTTAGGAACTAAACATTGAGTTTATAAGAGTATTTTGGTTTTATATTTAAAACTTAGTAGGTATCTTTCGTCATACTTTTAATTCTTCTTTGATATTTTAAACAAAACTTCTTTAAAAATCTTTTCGGATTCAAAAATCTTTTCGGATTATTTCGCGGATTTATTTTGATTTTTGGTTCATTGGTTTGGGTTTTTGGATTTCATTGGTTTCGATAAACAAAATAAAATAAGTCTAAAACTTAAAGTTTGAGTGTACTTTTAAGCTAGACAATATGAATATTTATGTCAACATGCGCTCGAAACAATATAGCCGAAAAGGAAGAGAGCAGTTGAACAAATATTTTTTCTTGTTATGAATGTTACAGCTACTATCATTGTGACGTTGTACTGTCGAGTCTGTTTCATGTGCATTTTATTGAGTAAATGAAGTACTTCTTATAAAAACGTACAAAGTTAAATAATATAATGATTTTGCATCTTATTGAAATATACATAGGAGAATGTAACTTTAAACATACTAATTAAAAAGTTACTTGTCCTGACTGTCGCATCAACATCAACGCCCTAGGCAGGCTATTGGAACTGAAGGATAGACATACAGTCTATTCTTATAATATTTTATAGAAAAACGTTGTTTGTATGGAAAATATGATATAAGTGACAAAAACTGGAAATATGGTAAATAACAAAATACATTTTAGTATTTGCTATATGAACAATTTAAAAAAACATCCGATGACGTCGGGGTGGTTACTATAATTTAAATATTTGTTTTTTTTTTTAATTACTCTGTCTACTTGTTAATTTCCACATTATTATGTACTGATTTTAAAGGGACTCTCATAGGTGGATAGACGTTTTGGTCGAAATGTACAAAGGCTAGTTACTTTTTCTTACATTAGATCCTTGGAAAATGAGAGTAAAGATGAAATTACAAGATTTTTATTATCTTGCAAGGTATGTAAGTTTCAAAATTTGCAAACTATTGTTCAACCACTGGTATCCGGTTGAGTTGAAATTTGGTATTCTTATGTAATTACGGTTACAATAAAATAATAAGGTATCATCGAGCTGATCAGATGATGGAGTCGGGAAGTAGGGGCTGTAACTCCGTAATGGCATATGGTAGGTTGTATAAAGAGCCGATATAAAATATCACAACTATGATTTGCTTAATTACTATTTGTAAAATGGATATTTAATTAATTTTCTTTATGTCGAAAAGAATGCGACATTATACTTTAACTAGGCAAAGCAATAAAGATATTCTGGTTATTTATTTATTTAAATATCTTCACGGAAATTCTATTTCATACTAACTTCTGGTACTCTATACGGTTAGCGCATAATAACTACCTTATATTGAACGTGTGTCTACATTTTAAAATACTATTATATTTATTTTATCGTATTGTATATGTGGGTATCTACCATTAATAATACGTTATTATAATATTGTTAATTTAATATATATATATATATATATATATATATATATATATATATATATATATATATATATATATATATTGTGACGATTATTATTTTTTCATAAAAAGCTTTTTGTGTCCATCTGGTTGATCGCATCTACAAGTCTGTTGTTTAGAATTCTTTAAGTTTGAATGGCTTCAGAATTTATGATACGGTTTTAATTCCTTGCTCTCAAACATAAGCATAAATATTGTAAAAATTCACGATTTTTTTTTCAAAATTTACGTGGCTAACGCTGGCTAATAACTATTTATATCAATTTCAAACTAATTATGTACCTACCTAAGGACGAACCCGAGCGAAGCAATGGTAAGCCGCTAGTATTTTCATAATTCTAACTAATGAATGCGAAAGTATCTAATAAATGTAGATTAATGAAATAGTTCCTGCGGCATTAGTCTGCCATGAAAACTTAGGGCTACTTATTTTATTATCTATATTAATATTCAAAGACCCTGTCCGTTCAGTACCTTTTTCTCCACTGTTTATTTGTTAGTAGCTGTTCAACGAGCTTTTGTGTTATCAATAAAAAAAATGGAATCAGTTTTTTTTTATACATAGTGTTAGTGTTATTTTATACATATTCATATGTGTTTTCTACAAATTTTCAATACTAGAGTTTGGTCGAGTTTCCACATATGTTATGATAATTTTATGTAATACCCTACCCAATAACTATAAGTATACACCTACTACGAACGTGTGCTTTTATACTTAATATGAATTAATGGAAGTTAAATATAATCTATGTAATGTAGTTACGAACACGTGTTGCGTGATGTCCATAAAGGTAACACTAGGGCATTGTACTCCGTTTTAATGTATTAGTTAATTGTTTCGCCTCCTTACAAATTACACTTCTTGTTTTCCCTCACTTAAGTGCATATTGCGTACGTTCGTTCGTGAGTAATTAAATTTGAATGCGTTATATAATATCTACTATAGGATTGAAGGATATTAGTTTCAGTATAAACGACTGAGACAAAGGCTTTTTAAGTCAATTATAAATAGTATCGATTCATATTCCTCCACCTGCTTGAGAGGTTTTAACTTAATTTTACTTCATCTATACTCACTAGAAAATTTGATCTTCTGCAAGAATCGAACCTATGAATCATGCGTATATTTTTTTCTTACACTGTAATTTTGTCATAATCCAAATTTGCTTTTAGCACCAACGTAAATTTGCCTTATAAAATGAGGACTAGCGCTTTGTATTTAATAGTGGAAAATATTTATTTGCTACTTGGAATTAAACTAATCAAACAAGCCAGTTATGATGCGCGGGTGGCACAGCTGCTGATGATATAGGTTATTATCGAACACCTGCCTTGCAACCTGTGCGGCTTATTGTCACCCTACATAGTTACGCTTAATGGAGGAACTAAATGCCCTTATACAGGCGAATAACGCTGTTTTCTACATTCTCAAACATCGAGAACAAGTATGTGATAGAAGAACTTTGTTAATATATTTAGACTACCTTTTATGTGTCTATTTTGGTACATATCTCAAAAATTATAATTATGACTTAGGCAATTTAATTGTCATTAAATAAAATGAAAACACCTGTCAAATAATAACGGAATATTTTTTTTATATCCGTATAAATGCGTACAGGTGGTCACATGGTCAGTTTTTGCTTTGATGGCACGCGCATATGCAAGAGATCTATCAATGAAGTGGACATTGTAATTGGCGAAGAAGCAGGTGAAATAACTTAATAAGAAAATAGTTGTATTTTTAAATAAGTTTTACATTCAGAACGATCATTACATACTATAAATTTTATTTACGTTTATAGGTTTTTGTACGTGCAGCCGTTGCTTTAAATACGCCGGCAATACAGGCAATTAATATTTTTCTTGAATATATTCATACTATTTATATTTTATCATTTGGTTTACGACTCAATCCGTTGATAGATGATTAGATATTATTGCTATAATCAGTATGTACAGTTACGCTGTGAGCCCTCTGGCGTAGGAAACATTGACCTCAGCCTTGAATAGGTATAAAGTATTGACCAAGTAATGAATAGTAAAATTACTTACGTATTTTCCAGGAAAGGTATCATTAATATGTATTAATTCGGGACTTAGGGAACACTCGCGGGCACGTCAGTTAATACAATGATAGGGATCGTGGTCGTTGCCCTTTTTAATTTCGCAGAGTACTCCTGTGACGTAGCAAACAGAGGGTCCCCTGTCCAGCTGCACCCCTGTCAGTAATCGGACTGTTATTTACTTTCATGACTCACTTTTATAGTAAGGTGGATTATGCAAAGTGTTTAAGCTTTATTTATTATCACTATATATTATAAAACAAAGTCCTCCGCCGCATCTGTCTGTCTGTCTGTCGGCAATAAACTCAAAAACTACTTCACCGATTTTCATGCTTTAGAGTGATTCTCGAGGACGGTTTTAATATATAATTTGTTAAGTTTTTGTATACATTGACTAAAATAAAACGATATTGGTTGGAGGTATTGGAAAAAAATAAGCCGTCTGGGAGCTTTCAAAGAAAACGCTGCCTAAACCCTTTGAGACATAACAAAATAATGGATGGTGGAATTGTGTATCTTATATTGGTCTACAGAAACAGTTCGCAATGGCGTATGTCTATCTCTTAATAATAACATATTATATCCATTTTAATGTAAAACGTACCTAGGGACGAACCCGAGCGAAGCGATTGTGAGTCGCTAGTACATTTAATGTAATAAAAAGTAAATAAATAAAGAATTTCATGTGAGTAATGTGATTCGTAATATTATATTATATATAATATTATAATAGTATGTATAATAATATCTTGCTCTTGCCTTAGTTTCACTCAGGCCCCTACACTCCCCGCGTCCCGTGTATTTTGTCCACAACTTTCATCTATCGCCAATATCCTAAACCTAAACGATGAACACACAAACATTAAACTTATATGAATATGTTTTTTGCTAAGCACTGTTGCATTGGTCTAGTACCTACCTATAAACATATACAGAAAAAAAAGATTAAATATTAATAATAATAGTAGTTATACAACCAACCAATCGGTGTCGTTGCAGATTACGCAGTATAAAGGCAGTGGTAGCCCAGTGGTAACGCGCTTGCTTGGGAAACCGAGTGAAGCGGGTTCAAATCCCGGGTCTCGCACCACTGATATTTTCATGTGCGAATCATTTTTAACATAATTACCACTTGCCTTACGGTGAAGGAAAAACATCGTGAGGAAACCTGCATGTCTGAGAGAACTTAGCAAGTTTTCGAAAGACATGTGAAGTCTGCCAACCCGCACATGGCCAGCGTGGTGGACTATGGCCTGATCCCCCTCGTATTGAAGGGAGGCCCGTGCCCAGCAGTGGGACGTTAAAAAGGGCTGAATACATACAACCAACGGTCTTATTGTTAACTAGCAACTCACCCTCGCTTCGCCGGGCTCGTGCCTAAGTTGATTCTCCATGCAAACTTTCATCCCCACTTTTAACCCCGTAAGGGATGATTTTCGGGGGAAAAAGTATTCTATGTCCTTTCCAAGGTCTCAAAGTAGGTTCTTACCAAATTTCATCTAAATCGGTTCATTAGATCCAGAGATTACCTACACCCCTAAAACGTCACAAACTCACAAACTTTACCTCTTTATAATATTAGTATAGATTGAGCGATCTCTTCCAGACAACATAGGCTTAAGAAATAAGGGGTACATTAAATATATAAAAATTCTGCTTATTTACAATTCCTAGATATAAATATCTTTTGTGTTATAGTAATGAGCTTAAATTAAAATCTTTTTGCTCCTGACGCATCCTCCCACATGTTGTCTCCTGATGTATTAATTAAGCTAGACAGATTCATAGTCGTCTGATGAAGTCATATTTAAAATTAAAATGGTACTTATGTTACATCATAATTATATCGATGGGAAGCTCATGTTTACGATCTTATTTGACAGGTTATTACGTTGTTATCGCATCTCCGTAGAACCAGTTTCTGATATACTAGAGGCGATTTAAATAATTATCGGCTCTGCATGTTACCGCTATCCAAAAAAACTCGACAATTTGGAAACGTTATCTGTTTGTGGTCGTCTCTAATTTCGAAACTAGATTCTTACATTCAAACTGGCTTAAAAAGGAAGTGATCTGTGATTGATAAACAAAACATTCGATTTATGCTCTTAAGTTACGCGTTTAAAACCATAAAACAACGTGATGCAGTATTCATTACATCTGAAGTAATTGTGTAGTAAAATAAAGTATACTATTCTAGCTTTAGAAAAACTCCGGGAAAAGTAATAAAAAGCTCTAAATTATACGTAAAAGCTCTATGTAAAATGGTGAATGCTCTGTTGAAAATAAAAGTCAAACAAAAAATATAACACACTTGATAAAAGGACGGAAGCTCCCGTTTTTTTTTTCATTTGTTCCTGCATCGCAATCATCACCATTTTTTTTTTAAATATTCTGTTTTCAACTAAGAAATCCTCATGATATGTATAAATATGACCCAATGAGGTTCTCCAGACGCTGCTTAAAATAAACATAAGCGTATTGGCAAACAATTTATCTGTCTTACAATTTGAATACAAACATGAGTTTTTCTGGCACAAGTCAATACAGTACTCGTATGTTAAGACTAAAATATGTTATTGTTTCATACATTTTTTGACCATTTTTCTTTTGTTCCAGGCACACGTGGTCTCGGCCTTCGAGCAGAGTCTCTCAAACATGACACAGCGGTTACAGCAGCTAACAGCTACAGCAGAGCGAAAGGTAAACCTCCTTTCCATTCTTGTTATTCTAATACTGTAATCTTACCTTACACGCGTTGGCATTGTAAGACTAGGAAAACGTGATTTATGCGCAATAAACATTCCCAGCAGAAGGATCAGTGACATATTGACCCTTCTAACAATGCGTCATATATTATGTAAATTAAATGATGCTAATTTACGACATTTTTCAAAGTTCTCTAATTGATATACAATACAAGTTGTTCTGCAGAAAGCTTCGTTAACGATCATCGTGCTCCAATTATATTTGACAAGGGAGATATTGTGGAGAAAATTTGTATCAATATGGAACAGCTTTAATGGTTGTTCGACTTTACTGCCGATATCAAGACGAACTGAATCAGTTTCTAGATAAGAGGAACTTGTTCTTGAAGGTTGCACTCTCGTATCGAACAATAAAATAATACCGGTTAAGTGGATTGCGTTTGAAAACCAAGAATTTTGTGTACGTTTCATATTTGCCATTGATTAAATTTTTGAATTCTAAAGAATCTTTATAGATGTTTCTTTAAAAAAAGCATTTTTAAGAGTTAAAGATAAAAAAAGGGAAAAGATATACTGTCTTGTTCTTCTGTGCTTCACTATCCACCAATCTTGTGACATTTTATTTTGAACATTCAGATACCAAAATCCAATATACCTACTATATATTGGATATTGGTATCAGAATATTCAAAATAAAAGTTACTATCGTAATCGAACCCGTTAAATTTGGCGTAGTAGCCAATGCGATACATATCTAATACACCATACTCACTATGCCATGATATTACGATACAATTTAATATTAGTTTTTTTAGATTAAATAAATGTTTAAGGACTTCTATCTTATAATCGATCGATATATTAATAAATAAATCTCCATTTTATATGCATATTAAATAGCAATATGTCCATATTATTTTGAATTTAATGACACAGTAAATATGAAATTACATTAATTTGCGTGAGTGCACGTTCGGATCAAAGACCATTTCACCGAGAGTACAGCTTTTCTAAACAGCTGTCTACCTTGCTTGGATTATAGGGTGTGACAGCGGAATATAGTTGGCCTAATCAGATATATGAGCGGCTAATTAGCTTTGTTGTTGAAACTCCTGTACTTTATAATCATTTAACTTGTTTATGTTGTATAGTGTAGAAAGTTAATTATTTTCTTTATCATTTCTGTCACAAAAGATTTTTGTTCGTTATCAATTTTATTTTTTATATTAAATTTGTCATTTATAACTTTTATTTATTTTATTATATAATTGAAATATAAACTTAAGGTAGAAATGACATTTCATTTAAATCGTAGGTAGTAGTTCTTAGGAGATAGTCCAAACCTTTAAAAATAACAGTTAATATAAAAAAAGGAATCTACTCTATATATAGTACTAGCATTGCCCGCGGCTCCGCCCGCGTTCCGATGACCAAAAACCAAATTCTTAGGTTTTACATATTAGTTTACTCTTACATTGCTGTTTTTGTATTTTTTCTCAGAAATGAGATATTTTCCCGCGGTAAAAAGTACCTACCTATACTAAATTTCATCAAAATCCCTCTGGTGGTTTTTCCGTGTTTTTTTTTTAACGTTGGGAAATGCATTTACGCACGACGTGTGGGACTCACCGGCGTAATACAGCCAGTAATGCCCACTAAAACCCAACAAAACCTTCCCCCGTCTTAATGGGGCGTCGGAGGATTGCTTACGCATTCAACTACGACGCCCCGACGGCAGGTCTGCCGAAGCAGACCACCACAACCATGGGGTTGCTCCACAGTCCACTCTGCTATCAGAGAAGTACCAGGAGCAACCCGCATGGTACACCGCCCCCCGAAGAGGGCCACCTCCCACCGCCCACCGAAGTGGGCAACCTCCCTGTGCGTTTCTTAGCTTCGCGCCCGGTTGGGTTGCTGGGCACTACTGAGCCCCCCCACCACGACAAGGTGAACGCACGTTGGGGGGGTCTGGTGGTTTTTCCGTGATGCGGTAACACACAGACAGACAGACAAAAATTCTATAAAACTATAGTTTCGGCCTCTGTATCGATAGTAATGTCTATTTCAATAAGATTTTCCAAAAAATATTTAATGTACAGATTTGGCTTAGTTACAATTTTATTATATGTATAGTTTTAGGAACCAGAAGTGGAATAGGTTTTAAAATTTATAAAAGTAATAAATTAAATGAAGGTAATTAAAAACTACAGTTTTACAGTTTAATGATTATTTTATTTGGAATTAATTCTTTAACTTAAAACAACATTAACGATCTAAAATTATAACTTTTAAAGAGAGCCAGCTTAGAAAAATAACAAACACAATACTAGTATCAATAAATCACAAAAATTAACAGAAATAATAACTATCAAGAAACAATCTCACCGGTTCAGAAGTCTCGAGCAAAATGCCTAACTTACTTGATACAAAGGTTTATATACTTGACTTGATGAGGGTGTTTTGAAAAAAAAAAAATATATCGCGTTCCGTTTTTCCTAACACGGCCTTCCTGAGGTGGCGCCGTCCTCGTGCGCGTCTTTGGCAGCATGTGAAGGACCTGCTTCTTGGTCAAGATCATCACCACACTCTGAAAAAGAAACATGCTTTATAAGTCCTCTTTTAACAAGTTAAATGAGTCGTATTGACCACTCTCATAATGCACACTTTCAAGGCCCTTGCTCATTATTCACTTACATACGTAAAAAAAATATGACATTCTAGTTTCATAATTCACACAACCATACATCATCAATTCCATATAGCAAACACAATACAAGTAACACATATTTCTAGCGTAGTTTTACAAAAATTACAAAAATTAAGCACAACAGTCATAGGCCTCCATTACGCTTAACTGTATGGCTTCATGAGATAGAGGCCTCCATTACGCATATCTCTCATTCATACATTTGCTAGTAACATTAGTACACACCCTCGAAAAAGGCTGCACAAGTATCGGGGCACCATTCTCCTTTCCAAGGCACCATGTATTGTGCCGCTGCTTGGGTGGTTTTCCCATAAGCACCACTCAATAGTGTCAATGCGTATCGCCCGCTGGGTAAAACCTTTGTGACACGATATGGCCCTCGCATGCCAGGGTCAAGTTTACCAGTTGACTGCGTAAACTTAGTAACGAAGACAAAATCATCCACCTTAAACTCTCTGGGTGGTCTTCTTAGCTGGTTAGCGTAGCGATCTTGATACCTCTGGTTGTTGCTCAGCAATTCACATGCTCTGGTACGACTTAGTTCGCGCCAAGCTTCGCGATTGGGCTTAGTACCTTCCACTGCTACATCACGCACCAACGACCGTATTATAGGAGTTGTAGCAGCAATCCCTGTCAACAAATTTAGCGCAGACGTTTGCGTAGTTTTTTGTTTAGTAATATTTAAAACCAGCTGCAGCTTCCAAAGCGTTTCTGACCATGAAGATTTTTTATGGCGAGTTTCTATGCGAATCATGTTGAGCACAGTGCGAACATAGCGTTCCACCTGGCCGTTAGCATGGTGCATTTCAGGCGTAATATAATGCACTTCCATGGACAACTCTTTTGTAAGTCTCATGAATTCGGCTGACTCGAACATTCGACCTTTATCGCAAACGAGTAATTTGGGTGCCCCAAAGAGAGAGACCGTGTTAAGAAAAATTCTTTTAAGCTCACTAACATCTTGTCTATATATCGCATATAACAAACAAAATTTTGTAAAGGAATCTACAATTATTATTACAAACTTATAGTCATTTGACTGCGGCAAGGGTCCTAATACATCGACATGTAATGTATGAAAAGGCGTATCAGGTTTTTCCCACGAAGTAATATATTGCAAGGGAGCTCTAGGTGCCCTTTTGCTGGTTATGCAAATCAAACAATGCGCTATATACTTCCGAACAAACTGTCGTAAGCTAGGGAACCAGAAATGCTTTAAAATCAAGTCTATAGTCTTTTCGGCATCGATATGGTCATGTTCATCGTGAAAAATCCTCAAGAGACTAAGTCGATGCCCTTTTGGAATATAGCATAGCAATCTAGTCTCCTCTCCCACGACAGAATATCGGTAATAGAGCACATCGTTTTGATTTACGTAGCGCCCCATGTCTAAATGACCTTCACTTAACTTTTGCATTAGCTGTTGAGTTTCACTGTCAGCAGCTTGTGCAATTTGAGCCCAGTTCCTTGGTTTTTGAATATGATTAACTTGCGCTACTGGTGGGTTGCGACTCAAATAATCAGCATGAGACATCATGATGCCTTTCCTGTATTCTATTGTAAAGGTGAAGTCTTGCATGTAAACCCACCAGCGTGCAACACGTGGGAGCAGGTCCTTCTTACGTTCGGTCGATTTTAAAGCATTGCAATCTGTGACAATTTTAAAATTCAAACCAATCAAATAATGGCGATAATGTTGCAATGCTTTTACAACCGCTAAGGTCTCCAATTCGTAAGAATGGTATCTGCTCTCAGCGCCTTGTGTTAATTTACTAAAATAGGCGACTACTTTCTTTTTGCCATCTATATGGGTCTGCATCAGGACAGCCCCATAACCTATGCTACTCGCGTCAGTATGCAGTTCGGTTGCTAAGCTGGGATTAAAGATAGCAAGAATTGGTTCACTGGTTAATGCTTTAATTATCTCTAGCCGAACCCTTTCCTGTTCACTTCCCCATTCGAATTTAACATCTTTTTTTGTTAAGCGAGCTATATATGCGGTTTTTGACGCATAATCCTTAACGTAACGTCTAAAGTACCCGGCCAACCCCAAAAATTGTCGGACCTGACGAACATTTTCTGGCACCGGAGAATTAATTAGTGCACTTATTTTACGAGGGCTCGGCTTTACCTGACCACGACTAACTACTCGTCCTAAATATTCGATTTCTTCCGTAAGAAAAGAACACTTGCGAAGATTGATTGAAAAACCGGCGTTAGTTAAGGTCATCAACACTTCACGCAACAATCTTATACCTTCTTCGATAGAAGAACTGAGTAATAATACATCATCAACATAAACAATTACTTCACCTGCATCGATAAATTTGCGTAAAGTATTGTTGATTATCCTTTGATAAACGACTGGAGAATTAGTTAGTCCAAATGGCATCTTCATATATTCATAATGGCCCTCAGGGGTCACAAAGCCTGTTTTATGAATAGATGAATCGTCCAAGGGAATCTGGTGAAATCCGGTTGCCATATCAAGACTGCTAAAAAATCTACAACTTCCTAACCTATCAATACAGTCGTCTATCAAAGGCATTGGATACCTATCCTTAACCGTTACTCTATTTAGGGCTCGGAAATCAACGCACATTCGATCCGACCCATCTTTTTTTTTAACGAGGATAATAGGACTCGAATATGATGATTCCGATTCTCTGATAATTCCCTTGTCTAACAAATCGCGTATTATCTCACGCACCTTTAATTTTTCCCGATAAGACAATTTATAGGGATGGTAAACGATTGGAGTGTCGTCAGTGAGGCGGATATGCATAGTTCCCGTTTTAACAGTGGAGGTAGCAGTACCGGAAATAAAATGATCAGAAAACTCGTTAATTACTTTTTTCAATATCTCTAATTTTTCTCCTACTAAGGGTGTGCTAAATTCGGTATGTGTATTCGCTTTTACTACAGAACATATTTTTGAACAAGTAGAAGAATGTGTTAAATATTGTTGATCTTTAGTCCTCACAAAGACAATACCGTCCCTATTTAACACATCAGTGCCAATTATTATAGATGCGGTCATGTACGAAGATGGGACAACTAAAAGGTCTACTTCAACAGTAATATTACGAAACTCTATATTAAGTGTGACATATTGCTTAATAATTATTTCTCGATCACTAATGCCTTTAATTGCCACATGAGTAGGTTTAGGTTGACACGACAAATATTTAAGTACGTTGGATGAGATTAAGGAAACTTCCAAAGCTCCACTATCAATAAGAACATCTATTGCGACTCCCTGAATTACTGCTGTGGCAATATCATTGTTAAAATCAACATTAAATGACTTACAAAGGTTAACTTTCCGGAAGTCTGAACGACTTTTCGTGAAACACTCTTTCTCGGTATGCCCTAGTTTTTTACAGAATGTACAGCACAGCTTAGAGACATTTTTAGATGACCTATCTTTCTGGGGACAAAAAAAAGATTTATGTCCGCGTTGATTACAAATAAAGCACGTGTAGCTGGTTATATCGGTCTTTGAACGTTTGCTATTTGGTAAATTTTTTTGTTTAAATACCTTATTGGCTATAGGGGGCTTGTTATACACGGAGAGAAATGATACTAGATCTGTAGTCGAGAGATTCGCGTTTGCGGCTGCAACACGTACTTGAGGCTCAGTAATTCCTCGTATAATTATCTGAACTATAAGCTCTTCACTTAGACCTTTTATTATACGCAACCGTAAAAGCGTTCTTCTCGCATATTCTGCATATGTAGAATATTTATCCGAATTAGTTTGCATCGCTTCATAAAGAATATTTGCATAATCTAGTCGTCTCGGGCAAAGAGACAAAAACTCTTTCTTAAAGTTTGTCCACGACCTATCATTCGTTGACCATTCGTTCAACCATGTTTTTGCGTCACCTTTCAGAAAACCAGCCACTCGTGATAAACACTCCATATCATCCCAACGATTGATCACTCTCGCTCGATCTACTTCTTCAAACCACGCATTAATATCATGTAAAACTGGATCAAAATTCGACACGTAATAATTTCGTGGTGTAATAATATTACTAAGAACATCTACAATATTTTGATTACAATCTGGATTCGATACTTCTACCGGCGATGTAGAAACGTTACCAGATACATTCAAATGGGGGGTAGTTGTCGATTTACTTTCGAGGGTATTTAAGCGTGAAAGAATCGAATTTAAAGTTTTATTAAAGATGCTATCACGGCTAGTAGTCGGTGATTTAGACGGGGTATAAGTTCTACGTCTGGTACGTCGTTTTCGAAGATTAGAACGCGAGCGTGATCGCGGACGCGACCGCGACCGTGATCGTACAGGGTTTCTTGAACGAGGACGAGATTGACGCAACATAGTTACACAAAACCAGTAATTAAAATTTTAAGCTGGCTCTCTCTTCAGAATAACTCGAGCAAAGTGGGAATTTACGTGGATTGTATCCCACTTCTGATTTTAGGAACCAGAAGTGGAATAGGTTTTAAAATTTATAAAAGTAATAAATTAAATGAAGGTAATTAAAAACTACAGTTTTACAGTTTAATGATTATTTTATTTGGAATTAATTCTTTAACTTAAAACAACATTAACGATCTAAAATTATAACTTTTAAAGAGAGCCAGCTTAGAAAAATAACAAACACAATACTAGTATCAATAAATCACAAAAATTAACAGAAATAATAACTATCAAGAAACAATCTCACCGGTTCAGAAGTCTCGAGCAAAATGCCTAACTTACTTGATACAAAGGTTTATATACTTGACTTGATGAGGGTGTTTTGAAAAAAAAAAATATATCGCGTTCCGTTTTTCCTAACAATAGTATAATAAAAGTATTTTTTGTCACCAGGATTCAGAATTGACTGAGTTGCGGCAAACGATCGAACTTCTTCGAAAACAGTCTATCCAAGCAGGTTTGACAACGGCGCACATGCAATCTATGGGAATACGCGCCGATGGAGTCAATGTTACGGGCCCGGTATGTACCTTATACCTCAAACTTTTTTTATTTCATCTATCTAAATATTTTTATTAAATAGTTTTCCTGTTTGCTTCATGCTATACATGAAGAGAAAAATATAGTACGATGATTTTTTAGGCAGTGCCTTATGTTAACCAGGTTGGGATTAATATCTGGTTATTTAAAAAAACAAAAAAATATCAAAAATATTTATCAATTTTCATTGTCAGAAAAAACCTGTTCAAACTTACTTCATAAAATAACCACCTTTACATTTGGTCTTCATATCGAACTGGAACCGTATGATATATCGTGACAAAAAACGGCGTAATATGAGCTATTCTTATACAAAAAAACAACACACTAACTAACGATTTTGTGCTATATGTATACAGATTATAAATAATAAATAAATATGTTGGCACACACAGCACCATTTAGTTCCATGGTAAGCTACGAGGCTTGTGTTATGGATACCAGATAGTTGATACACTACATATACATATATAAAAACTTTAAATACATACATATTATAAATGTAAACACCCATTACTGGAGTACAAACATTCGTGCTCATCACACAATGAATGCTCCCAGCGGGACTCGAACCCGCGACCGCTGGCACAGCAACTAGGGTCACTACACACTGAGCCAAACTTGTTGTCAATATGTATCGTTATAAGAGGTTTTTTTAATTCATCTTACAATAGCCACATGAACTTAGTCCCCTAAAACTAAATATCCGTGTCTAATTATATCTACAGTAACCGTATAAAGATAGGCTTAAACGTTATATTTCTTTTCTTACTTCAATGTTCTCACACGAGTATGTTGGAGTATGACCAAACAAAAGTGTTGAGGACATTCAATTCAAATATAAATCTTAAGATAATTTTGTTTAACTTCATCTTATTCTGTCACCTGCAATTATGGTAGGTACACATCACGTTCAGGCTAAATATCGAGCCTTGTGATTAAATTAACGTTATGTAGGCCAGCCATCAATCATTGCGTAACATCATTAGACTCTATAAAATGAGATCACGTACATAGAGCAGCTTTAATTGATAATGCCTCTCAAAATAACAATTTGTACATGGTACAATCACTCTCTTTTACAAGTCATAACTATGAAGAAATGTTATAGTACTTGAAAAATAAATGTATAAGTATGTTTTTTAAAATACAATTTAATTTAACAAAAGGAGTTTTTTTCTACTTTTGGTTCTAGTTTTTTGCTATTGTTCTGTGTATTTTTATCCACATTTACCCATGAGTTAATATTAAACTTATTTATGTAGAAAGCAAGGTATCAAACAGTAACGTAATATTATATAGACATGCAAGATCGAAATTCTAATGCAGCAGTCGTGAGAAGATGCAGTTAGATCATAGATCTGGCACCAATCACACGCTTTTTAGTGATCCACTAAACAGAACAGTTGCGAATGCACACGTGAAAGTTCAAACCAAATAAATGGCATAAGCGACACAAATACTTGTATGTAGGCTCACTCGTACATTTGCATTAAATTGACCATCAATATATCGTTCTACATATCAAAACGTCGATAGTTGAGAGACACGGCGTCCTGTTAGTCATTACTAAACATTTTTCGATCGCGTGTATAATTATTTTAATGGGGCATCTAATTTTATTCTCAGCGACGCTTTGAACATCTACATGATAACTAGCATTTACCGACAGAGTTACTACTATGATTTGTATTAAACTTCTCTATTACTTTATATTATTGTTTTTGACTTAGAATATTTACATTAAGTAAATTAGAATGAGTGTTTGAGTTTGTAGATATATTATTACCAGAGGAATAATAGACACGTTTCAAATGTAATTTTTTTAGAACGTCGCTTTGATTCTTTAAGTTCTTGAACTTATCCAAATACTTTATCCAAATAAAAATGTATATATGGTTAAGAAAGCCTATTTTTTTTAATCTGTTATAATAATATTTGAATGCAATAAAATATAGTACCTAATTATACCCAAATGTTCTCGTTGTGTTTAGGAACCAAATGCAACTCAAACCCAACAATCTTCGCCGCAGCGATTAGCTCAGGGCAATGGTGCGATCACGAGGCATCTATCAACTGACAGCGTCTCTAGTATTAACAGCCTTAGTAGTGGCTCATCTGTGCCACACGATAAAAAACATAAAAAGAAAGGATGGGTAAGTTTTTTCCTATACTTTTTATTATGTATGCAACATTTTCAAATTATGTCACGTCATTATGTCTTTGTTGTCCGAGTAGTATTTCCTCTGATAAGGTTCACTTTAATGGGGATCGCACATCGATCCGACAAAGAAACGCCTGAAATATACAAAAAAATCAATTTTAGGCCAAATTATTGTGTAAATCTAAAGAAACTCGTGACAATTATTCATATGAAAATGAATGATTATTATTTTAAATTAATAATTCAAGATAAGACTAATATCAATTTTAATTCCTTATTATTCGTTAAATTTTTATCCTACTGAAATAAACTTACAATAACAGTCGCTGCTTTTTACGGGCATTTCTCTTTACACGTAAGTTAAATAAACACTCTCCTGTCACAGTTGCGCTCATCGTTTACAAAAGCGTTCTCAAGAAATGCGAAGATATCTAAAACAGCGAAACATTCCTCCCTCGGGCAACTATCATCGCAAGACAGTTCGTCGGGCTCTCACCACTACGACGATCCGCACACGATCCGTGAGGGAAGCAATGAAAACAGTCTGGAACATTCCCACGAAACTCTTGACAATAGCAAAGATAAAACAACGTGCCCTCCAGCCAGTGAGGAACAGACCAAAGGTGAATGCTACGTTTTGTACTAACAAACAAAGACAATTGGTTTTCCAATTTCAGAAATGAATTAAATCCTTAGGGCAATGTTAATCAGTGACACGTTTTAAAGAAAAATTTCTATTTGCTTAGACGATTTAAATGTTATTAGTATAAAAATCTTTAGTTCCCTATGTTACATTTGCTTGATAAACATAAGCTAAGAGAAAGCTAACTTTGAAAGTTCTAATTACATAGGGCCTAAGTAAATTTATTAATATGTACGTGATTATTTTTGACAAATCACATTACTATTATAAATGCGAAAGTTTGTACGTATGTGTGTATATTTGTTATTCCTTCACACTAAAATGGCTTGACGGTTTTGCATTGAATTTAGTACACAGATAGACTGTAACCTGGAGTAGTATATAAAATTGTGTTAGTAATTAAAATTGCCTAAAAATGGCGATAGTGGTATATAATATTATAAATACAACAAGTATTTAGAGAAAGCATGCTAATAGAAAATAATAAATTTTATTTTTAACATGTAATATTTGTTTCAGATAAACCAGATCAGTCGGGCTTAGTAGATGAATTAAAGAGGCAGTTGCGAGAGAAAGATTTGGTGCTAACAGATATAAGGCTCGAAGCGTTAAGCTCGGCTCATCAACTAGAAAGTCTTAAAGACACTGTCATTAAAATGAGGGTAGGTATTTTTACTTGTCGCAGTCTTACGTTTTAGTTAACGAGTTTTATCTGTAGCTTTGGGAATATACATATTTTTACTTAATTTATACTCACTTAACAGTTCTGATGTATTTATATAAGAACGTAACTTTTGGAGAGCTTAATTTTCAAAACGTTTCAGAGTAATTGAATAAAATAATAATATACCCATAAATAAACAAACTTTTGTAAACATACTCGTAGCATACTATAGTCAAAGCATCGTGATTCGTGACGATCGAAGAATTCCATAAAGAACTTTGTTCCAAAAAACTTTAATGCACTGTACTGCTGATAACACATAAGTGTTACAACTTAAATAAATATTAAGTAAATAAATGTACCTATTGAATATATAAACTAACAATATGTCAAAATGCCAAAATTGTAAACAAGTTAGTTCATGCTTAAGCTCATCTTATCGAATGAATTTCATATCTACAAATAATTTCTTAGAACGAGATGTTAAATCTGAAACAAAACAACGAGCGACTTCAGCGACTGGTAACATCTAGGTCGTTGGCCGGCAGCCAGAGCTCGCTCGGCACCGGCGGCTCTGCCGTTGAAGATCCTAGGAGATTCAGTTTAGCTGATCAGTCTACTATGCATCAGGTAATATTTAAGTTTTACTTTTTAGTTTTACGCGAATATTTGACATTTTTAATAAAACTATCTTTTCGGGTTTCTTCTCGGATTTTTGTTTTTAGTAAAGTGTGTTCCGAACATCGGGCATCAAAAATCTACCTGAATCTGCGAAAAAATCCGAAATGGTAATTTAATTTAAAATATTTAATTTTATAGAGTTATTTCCATCTAATAAGCTATAATCGTTCTGGTATACGTAAAAAATATTTAGCATAACAGAATTCAAGGACGAAATTTCACAGCTATTACTTTAAATTTAATTATTCACAAATACCAGTTTTCAACATTCACTAATATTTTGCCATTTTAACAACTATTTATAAATTATCTAATATAATTATTCCATTTTCAGGCCGCCATAGACATACATTCCCAGCCTCTAGACTTAGACTTTAATTGTATGAGTTCGACTCCATCCCGGGATTTATCCAAAAAAGGATCACCAAAATCAAGTATCGTCGAGCCGATATACGGCAACAAAGCTGTGTGCGAACTCAATGAAAACAGTGAAGCCTTATTGGGAGCTTTAAATGGTGCGAGTGACATATTTACAAATGGACTCAGCGCCGGGGAACGGTTAAGTGGTGATTACGATATCAATACAGTCCTACCTCCCCCTAAAAGTCGAGAGTTAGCGATAGGGGAAAGCTATTCAGATATCGGTAAGTATCGGTTTCTTTATCGGGTAAGGAAATAAAAGACGACATATTACTAACCGTTTTTTGTTTTATAGGTGTTGCCGATAGTCAGGGTGATACGACAGACGGAAAGAAGATAGCAATAGCGGTATATTTGGGACAACCAGAAACATTCCAAAGATATTTTGAGGAGGTTCAAGACACGTTAACCGAATCGGAATGTCGATTCTATTCGAAGCAAGCTAGTGGTTTTAACAATCACTTCGATAAACAACCCAGTTTTGATTCACCAAGAGTATCCCAAAACCATAGTCCCGAAGTCGAAAATCAAGACTACCCGCAATCTATAAATAAGTCAAACACAAATAGCCTTAAAAGTAACAAATCTACGCACAGTAATTCGTATAAGAACGTATATAATAGTGATTCGACAATAAACTGCAATGAGTTTACAATAGCCTATACCTATATATCTGGTAAGACGACTTGGCAGAACTTAGACTATATAGTTAGGAAAACTTTCAAGGACTATCTATCTAGAATAGATCCTGGGACTAATCTAGGGCTGAATACAGACTCTATTACGTCATACCATTTGGGTGAAGCGACACGAGGTCCCGAAATAAGCTTTCCTGAACTATTACCGTGTGGATATATTATTGGAACTGTGAATACACTGTACATATGCTTACAAGGAGTTGGCAGCCTGGCATTTGATAGCCTTATACCAAAAAATATTGTATATAGGTTAGTATTAATGCTATATTGTATCAATAACACCTTTTCTTTTTTTTTGGAAGACACATATGGCTCAGTTTGTAGTGATTCTACTTGCTGTGCCAGCGGTCGCAGGTTCGAGTCCTGCTGGGAACATTAATTTGCGTGATGAGCACAATGTATGTACTCCACTCATGGGTGTTTATATTTATAATATGTATTTATTTATAGTTATATATTATGTTTAGTGTATCAACTACCTGGTATCCAAAACACAAACCTCGTAGCTTACCATGGATCTAGATGGTGCTGTGTTTTCATGTCCCTATATATTTATTTATTTATTTTCCCTATATTATAAAATATCATAGACATGATTTTTTGATGATCATTTACCTCTTCCAAAAACTTATTGCCAAAAATATTTGTATAAGACGTTGATATCATTCTAGTATGTACATTGTGCGTATATATGTATAATAACAAAATGAGAGAATGATAAATCATTAGCCATTACCCTAATTTGTAACACCTACAGATATCAAATCGTGTTTTAAATTGAGCTATTTACTTGCAGATACGTATCTCTGCTATCGGAGCACCGGAGGGTAATACTCTGCGGGCCGAGCGGCACTGGAAAGTCATATTTGGCGGCTAAATTAGCGGAATTTTACGTACAAAGGACGCAGCGAAGAGGAAATCCTGTGGAAGCCGTGGCAACATTCAAGTGCGTTCTAGTTCTATTTCCTTTATCTTTTCCTGCAATTACGGATTGTTTATGTAATAAATACTTTGCATTTAATTGTATATATACATAAGTATTTAAAGATCGATATTTTATGATTTTGGTTATGTACTTCGCACTTATTCATTAAATATGTAAGGGTGTTGTTTGGGCCTAATTAGCTTGTATTTAGGTTTATACATTTTATTCACTAAAATAACAGAAGATTGAGCTAATGTGTAATGCTATAGATAAAGCATTATATTTCCTGCTTAAAAGTGGGTATAAGGCAACATAAATATATTTTTTTGTTTTCATGTTATATTAACATTAGTTTATGCACCTAACTCCATTTGTCGTCAGTAAGTTTAAAATGTCACTAAAATCCGTTGAACCATAAGAAAAATACTTCTACTTAGTAGCAAATACAAGACTAAGCTAATTACACTATGATATGTTTACTTAAGTATGACACTGCCTGTTATCTGTCAGGTCGAGCCAGTAGCACAGACGGCAATTTGCGTTTTGTGATTTACACTTAATATAAAGGTCGATTCACACTACAGTGCCGATCACATTTTGTTTTCAATCCGCTATCGTTCTGGTAAAGTCATTTAAAAAAAATAACTTTCTTAAGTTTACGCGAATATTTGACATTTTAAATAAAAGTATCTTTTCGGATTTTTTCGCGGGTTTATTTTGATTTTTGATTACCAACTTTTCGAATGCTTTACAGCAATCATTGTCAGGGGAGAGACTCAAACTCAGAAATCTCTATCGTGATTGCTGTAAAGATTGCGCAAAAATCCTAAAAGACTTAGTTATCTTAAAAAAGTCATTACCCACAGCGTGGACCGTAAATCCTGCAACGAGCTGCGCGCGTACCTCGCGAACATCGCGGAGCAGTGCGGCGGCGCGGGCGAGGAGCTGCTCCCCGCCGTGGTCGTGCTCGACAACCTGCAGCACGCGTCTGCTCTTGGGGATGCCTTCGCAGGGCTCCTGCCGCCCGATAATAGGAATATGCCTGTTATCATTGGTATGTGTTGTACTAGTGATTTTAGTTTTGATGGTGTGTTTAATGTACTTCTGATTTCGAACATGTAGCCAGTCTTACTGAGACTAGCCATGTGTGCAGGTGTTATAGTGCACAAGTGTTCTCTGTATTTCTGTCGCTCTCGAACTAAGCTGGGACGATAATTTAACCCAACTGATGAGAGATCAAACGACCGACGATATACGTACATTCCGAGGCAGGAGGATGAAACATCGCTTCAACTAAAATACTTCCCAACTCAGGGCTACTGAAAATTTATTGACAGAAATATTTGGCTGGCTCGACCCGGGTCTCAAACCCAGAGCTTCTAGATCTGCAGCCGTCTGGATTTACTAGCCATTAGAGCACAGAAGCATACAGGCAGCGCCGTCATATAGTAAATTTTATGGCTAACAGTAGCCTACGACTTACTTTAGATCATATTACATTTGTATAGTAAATTTAATCCAAATCCGTCACCTTTCCACAATTTGATATAAGACAAAAGATAACTAATCGACACTACCAATTTTTGGCTAGGAATTTAAATTTTTCAAAAATGTAATATGTAAATATAATTTTTACCAAAAACTAATTTTCCACTATAATATATTCTATGTGAAATTATACCCATGCTTTCCGATGCTCACTGTCTTTAAAATCAATATATTTATGTATAACATTTTATCTCGCAGGCACCATGTCCCAAGCTACATGTAACACGACAAATCTTCAACTACATCATAACTTCAGGTGGCTTCTCACCGCCAATCACATGGAACCGGTCAAAGGATTTCTGGCAAGGTTAGTTAAATAATAAAAAGGCAAATGAATGAAAAAACAATTGAAATGATAACTTCTATAGGCAGATTTGGATGGGGAGTAAATTCATGTAAATCGTCATCGACATGGTCACGTGACATGTTAACGCTAACACTAAGAGTGCCGATAGATGTCAAACCAGATAAATGTAAACAGTTTTAATTTACATATTTTAATTTAGGATCAAACAATTAATTTGAATATCCAAAAATAACAACTGTTTGTTTATAGTTTTAAGTTTTTACTTCTGTCGGCAGTCCTCATAACTGCTTTTTTTTTACTATACGAATACTTGTAATAAATATTTATGGTCACCATACATATATATAGACAAATGTTATTATTGAAGTAAAACTTTTTTAGGCGTTACTGAGGGGTAAGTCAAAACACTGGAAAAATGAGCAATAAATATTTATTACTAATATTTTTTATAAAAATATGATATTTATATTTTAATTTGTTTTAATATCTGCCACAGCGCCAAAGAAGTTTTACTTTAACCGCACATAAAGGTTACACGCACTCATTTAATACTAAGATATCCATCCAAAGTTACAAGTAAAACTACGTTTTTGGTTTTTTTTCGCGGATTCTGATTTTAAATTTCCAACGTTTGAATGCTTTATAGCAATCATGGTCAAGGGAGACGGGGTTTTATTTAAAATTTCAAATAGTCGCGTATATCTAAGAATGTATTATGTGAACAAAAGTTATAGTTAGTAGTTAGTTTTTATTTTTCAACCGACTTCATATAGGAGGAGGTTCTCAATTCGACTGTATGTTTTTTTTAATGTTTGTTACCTCAGAACTCCGTCATTTATTAACCGATTTGGACAATTTTTGTTTTGTTTGAAAGGGTATACTTCCAGATTGGTCCCATTTAAATTTAAAAAAAAATACCACCCCTAAGGGTGGAAAAACAACTAATGATGAATTTAATCTACTTCTAATTGTCATATTGACTTGAAACTTTGCAAGTATTTCTATTTCCGTTGAAAGTACAGTGGTTCGGTGTTGTTGACCTGATCTGATGGCAAGGCCAGAAGGTGGATAGGTGGAACTCTTCAACGGCTAATAGTAGATACTATGAGTTTGGGCTTATTTTGTTTGATTTGACAAGCCTATCACGTTAGAATTCTTACTTTGCTACTACTGTCTACACTAAAAAGGGAAAAATAAAAACTTTTTAACAAAAAAATAAAAACCGACTTCAAACAAAAGCACTAAAAAGTAAAAAATAACTGATTGGTAGTTTTCATTTACTATACATACCTAATCAAATATTTTTGAATCCAATATTTAGGCAGTACAATAGAATGCGTGGTTTAAATTTATCGTAGATTAAATAGTATTTTAATAAAGTTATTAATATCGTAAATAAAATCTAATATATTATTACAGGTACCTCCGTAGGAAACTGTTTTCACTGGAACTAAGGCTAGGTCGAAGAGAGCCTGCTCTAGCGGCAGTGTTGGAATGGCTTCCAGGCGTCTGGTCGACCCTAAACGCGTTCTTGGAGGCGCATTCGTCTAGTGACGTCACAGTCGGACCCCGTTTGTTCCTCGCTTGTCCAATGGATTTAGAAGCTAGTCAGGTATTTTTGTTGACCTTTATTGAATTATTTTAAATTATCTAAGGAATTTGTCTTGATCTCTTATGTTTTGTTAATTACCCTGTAAGAGTTATATGATTTTTAAAGTTTTAATAATAGCGAGACAATCTCATTTTATTATGGCACTAAGCGAAGAAGATGTTTGTCATATAGTAACTTAAAAAAATGTCAAGATTTCTCTTTTTATGTTTATTATAATAAAATATAAAAATATAACATAAACATAAACCTTCTTAAAGAGTCTTCAAATAGTTGTAAAACCCCATCAAACTTTATACGTAGCTTTAAAAGTTAAGCTCAGAAAGAGTCAAAGCCCAACACACAACAACTTTTTAGAACTATTTAGTGTCAGATATTTATACACTATATTATTAAATATATCAATCTTGCCCAACAGGCATGGTTCGCAGATGTATGGAACTACAGCATAGTACCATACGCGTCAGAGGCGGTGAGGGAGGGCGTGGCGCTGTACGGGCGCAGGCGCCACGCCGCCGTCGACCCCTTGCAGCACGTCAAATCCACCTACCCGTGGAGAGAACCCAATCATTCTCATGTAAGTTGTAGTAGAACTTAAATGGAAATTTTCTTTTCTTAGGATAAAAAAAGAACTTCTAGAGAGACCTACTTCCTGGTCTATTATGGCGGATGATAGGGAGCAGTGTAAGAAGAGTACACCACACGCTTATAGTCATAATAGTGTAGGATAGTAATAATTCCCAATGGGTTACGCAGAGATGGATCCCGGCTGATGCGTCACATTAAACAAACTTAATTCTCTTAAGGCGCCTCCACGTGTTGAACCTGTGTCCTCACGCAAGCCTTTCAAAGAACCGGCCTCCTTCGAGCCCGTGAATTCCAAAGAGATACAATTAATAATAAATATAGGATAAAAACTAACCAGTTTTAGTCAAATACTTGTAATATAATATAAATAAGGACTAAAAATCTTATAAATACCCTCACTGCATTATTTATAATTTTTTCCAGACTCTTCGACCAATAACGGTTGAAGATGCTGGTATGGAAGAAGCAAATCAAGATGCAAACACAAACAATAATCAAGATCCATTGGTAAATATATTTTTCAGTTTACCTCCATTTAAGAGATAAAATAATAATATAAGAATAAAATACAATCCTTTTTTTAACTATATTCGCACATTATACTACCTTTCAGTTTTATTGAAACAACGTAATTTTTATACCATATATTCCACATCGATCGCAGTAGTACTTGATCATAGTAGTCATTTAAAAATGTCGTTGTGAAAGTATTTTTTAATTTAATTTTCTGTCATAATAAAAGTTATAATTTGTTACAGTTGAACATGTTGATGCGGCTTCAAGAAGCAGCCAACTACAGCGGCAACCAAAGTCAAGATTCAGACAACGCGAGTATGGATTCGAATCTCACACACGACAGCTCTATGGGCAACGAGCTTTAAAGCAATAATATAATAAGCACGTCATATAAGTTGACCTAAGATGGCGTTAGTCATTTGTCATTACGTAGCAATAATTATAGTTTTAAAAAAGTAAAAAAAATAACACGCTTTTGACGAATTTAAATGACGAGACAATGATATGAGCCCAAATTCGAAGGATTTACTAAAGAGTTCCAAGATACCAAATTATAGTATTGTCATCCGAACTACATATTCGTTCTAAGTTTTATTTATTTGTTATTACAAGTAGGATAAAACTGCCTTGCAAGATTTAATAACATTGTTAGTGAAATGAAGGTAAAATCAACAATCAACGAATATGGCGGATATTTTACGTAGATTAAAAATATCGCCATCTTAGTTCAATTTATTTGAATTGTGCTGTTAGCAATAAAGAAATCATTGCATTAAAACGTATTCGTTTTTGGCTATTATGAATCGTAGAATTTTGTTCTCGATATAACTTCGGATATTAAATAGTTGAAGAAAATAGAATCTTTAGAAATATCGTGAAATTTTAACTCTTCATTTATTACTTTTACTAAATCATGCAAAATATGACGTTTAGATTTAGTTAAAGAATAATAATATCTTAATTAAACATTAATTAGCGATTTCCTAATATTTTTGATCAAAAAATTCTTAAAGAAATCCAATGTTTTCCATCGTAATATCTACGATTCATATTAACAAGTGACACTTCACACTTGAAACCAGTACTGAATAGAATATTTGCGACACGTATACTATATATTATATTTATGTACTTTGTTTCTTTATTTTTCACAAAATATAACGATTAAAGCTTTATATTTTATTTAACACTTAGTCTATGATATAAAAAAATTGGATTAAAAGTAAGTGCATTTACTTGTTAACTATACTATACAAAGCCAAAAATTTGCCATGTGTATATTATTATTTATTTATCAATCTAGAAAGCTTTAGTTAACTTCTTTTAGGTGCTTTGTCCTGTAAATTGGTATATAAAAAATATATTTTATTTCATAGTTGGGAAAGGATTTGCTCTGCATATTTGTGGTTAACAGCAAATATCGTAAGCGAGAGTACCAGCCTTTCTTATATTATAATATTTAAAGTGAAATTTTTAACGCTTAAGTTAAAAAAATTATTACAATTGATTACTCGAGAAAACTTCTAGTGCCTGGAGGTAGGTATTCCAATTTTGTGAAGTATTCTGACAGTGTAGGACTGTTGATGTTTATATGAAGATTTGTGGCTTTTACTATTGTTATATTTTTTCAAAGATAGGATATGGACACATTTGTATTACTATGATATTGTATGTAATATATTATTATGAAAGTGTAATTTTTATACCATTTTCATATAAAACTCATGTACCTAATAAAAATAAATAAGCTGTAAATAAAAAAAAATGTTTAATATAATTTTTTTTCTATGTGACTACACTAACCATTATGCCATAATTATACAGCATTAATTTTGTATAGAAATATGTAATGGCATGTTGCAGTGTTTGGTATGGATTTATCTGTGTGCATACTGAAACGTGATATCTACAATCTATGCTTTACAGAAATTGTGAAATAAACATTGATTACATTAAGTATTGTTTTATTCTTCTAATACTACCTTTTAGGCATAATATTGTGCAAGATGTCGCGTTTACTTTTTATAGCTTACTAGCGACTTGCACTCTCGTTCCGCTCGGGTTCGTCAATAGTTACGAATTAACGTTTAGTATAGATTTCTCAAAGATGAGATATTTTCCCGCAGTTAAAAGTATCCTATAATAATGTTGACCCGGATAACTAGCTATCATCATACCAAATTTCATTAGTCTGTCTAGTGGTTTTCTCGTGATGCGATCACAAGTAGACAGACAAAAAATTCTAAAGACTAAAAACTATGGATTCGGTCTCTGTATCGATAAATAATGACTATTTCAATAAAATTTTCCAAGAAATATTCAATGTCCAGATTCGACTCAGAATTTTATTATATGTATAGATAGATAGGTACCTAAATTACACACGTTGGCTAATTAAATATGGTTTCGACTTTTTTTTATTAAATTGCTTTTAGTCTGTACCTTCTTAATTTTTAAATAATTAATGTATAGAGTAATCGATAAGTATACGCAGTGGCGTAGCTAGCCCGAATGCCACATGAGGTGGTAATCGATGGTGTACAAAATATCTTTATCGAATCTCTAAAAATACCTATATTATTACTTTGCATATCGCAAACAGACAGTTCCACTCTGTTCAAAAAGGTCCATGATTTAATAACAAACTAATTGTAAGTCGAAACTAGGACATCCCTAATAGTAGGTCTGTGGTAGTATCATTACCAAGGAGGGTTGACGTCAGGCAGGCGGCCGGTCGTAAAAGTTTTGCCAAATCCTATCGGCAATACAGAAGATGTACGGCGCCGACCCTAAGTGATTGGGAAATGGGCAGGGAGAAGAAGTATCATCACACCCTAGTGTCTCAACTCTCACGTAGACATAGTTTCAAAGTCATCTAGTGGCGGTTACATTCTCTTTGATCTAGTGATAGACCTTTGATCCATGTCCAGTCATGTTACACCCTGAGTTTCAATCAAGTGATTTTCCTTTATCGTTATGGTATCAATGTGTATTTACAAATTTAAAAATTAAAAAATACATCGGAAAAGCACTTTTAGTTTTACCCTGAATTTTCGCGCAATTTTTCTCCTAAAAATCTTAATCTTATATGCTATTAGAAACGTTTAAAAAAATTGTTTTCAAGTGAGTCGAGTACCAAAGAACAGCCTTTCAGTTAGGTCACGTCATCACGAACAAAGAAAAAATTAGTTCAAATAAATGTCAATAGACGGCATTATATGTATCGATTTGTTAAAATTATCAAAAGATATACAATAGATCCCAAAAAGATATATTATGGCTTAAAAAAGTATGAAAGTAAAGGATAACAAAATAATGCGCTTATAAATCTTGTGTTATTTTACTGATTAGTAAAAATCAGTCTTTAGTTAACGTGATTTGTAGTGAACATTCACAGTTGACGCTTTTTAGAAGTTGTTTATCACTGTTAAAAAATGTTGAAATCATTGATTTTTGTTTCAATAAATTCAGAGTAAATGTTGCAATATTTATCACATTTTAGTTTACACATATTTAAAAAATAAAACATTTCGACAATTGGCGGATTTGTTTCAGATAAGGCACAAACATCTATATTATATCTAGTCAAGCAAACAAAAATAGACGAATTAGCGCTGTTCAATTTCTTTAGTACCTGGGCTACCAAACTTCGCTTGGAGTTTTTGGCCTAAAGTACAATCTTCTTTTTCTTTAAAAAAACTTGAATACATATTAAAAAAAACAAAAGTAAAAACTGTATGCGACCGAATCCGAACCTGGACACCTGTGATTGGTGATCTTGCACCTTCACCGCTTGATCACAATGCTTACTCCCGAGCGTTCAAATTACCGACCATACTTTGCGTGGAATAATGCAAAGGAAAAATGCATGAAAACTCGAAAGCACACGTTTTCTCCGACATAAGACTCATCTAGATCGATTTATCGGCCCCGAAATGTATACTAATTTCATGAAAATCGTTGGAGCCGTTTTCGAGATTATCGTTATAAGATAAGATATGGGTTGAGGCTGTAGTCCTGTAGTTTGTACCAATATTATATCATCTGTGATACAGTTAAGGTATGAATTATTACACAGGTAAGGAATAATAAAAGAAATCTTCAGCAAATAAAAGAGAATTTTATTAAATCCTGTGTACAGAATTGTTTCCATTTTTAAACTATACCAGAGACGGTCATGAAAACGGAGTAATTTGGACGGAACTTGTTGTGTTCTCAAAAAGAACCATAGGACTAGAGTTTTTTGACTGAATATTTTTGAGGAACAATGTTGAAAATTGTTTCAGATAAGGCACAACCATTAGCAAATTAAATCACATGAATTGAGTATACTACTGTAGAAACAATGCTTTTATACTAATTGCTACATGGAATGACGTCTAAATGGTATTAATAAGATTAACCTTATATAATCAATAAATTAGGTATACTTCCTATATTTAGGGAATTAGTAATAAATATAATCTGTAGAAACATTTTGTAGTAGACATATAAGTTCATTTCAAAATTATTCTTATAATATACCTAATTATAGATTAAAATATAATTAAGGCCTTAGATAGGGCTGCCGTCTGTTGGAGTTAAAAAATAAAATTTATTATTTAATCTAAGGCAAAGTTGTTATAGTTATTACATTACAATTTAAGTAATAGGATTTAAAAATTTATATTTTTATTCAATGCACTTTAATTTCAAACTAAACAAATAAAATTAATAATTTAAAATAAATATGCCTAGCAGCCCTACAGTAGGCCATTTTTATTGTTTAAATAGAACAAGTTCTGTGATATTTTATATTAATTAATCTATACATTTCGAGTTCATCTTGCAATGAGCAAAGTAGAAGTTTGATGATAACATATACATTGAAAAAATAGAATATGCGAGTTATTACAATTCTGGAACTGTTACCTTCAACTTGATTAGTATTAAATTAAATAGTTTATCTATCAAATATAAGTAGAAAATTTAAAAAAAATGTACTCAAACATTGTTTCTAATATAATAAACACATTAAAATGTAATAGTGTACAGTATTTAGTATACATATAAATCATTTGTAAGAATATTTGTCATACTAGTGTAGATTTATTTATGACCTATTCAAACTCACATAATTATATTTTATACAAAAATGCAGCTAACTGCCACTGTTTAAAATTTGTTATATTATACATATAAAATTTAATATAATTTATTATAATGTAAGCATATTTTGCCGAGATTATAATTATTGTAGTTTAATTTTTTTTAGTGCTGTTTGAAAATATAATATTTAATTTAAAAAGTACTTAGTACAGTTATAATTAAGTAAAATAAATACATAAAATTTAAAAGCAAATGGTGGTATTTAAGTACAGCAATAGATTTTTTATGAAATAGTATAAATTAAATGTTGCAAAATTACATATAAAAAAATTAAAATGTCATAATTTACCATTTAGTCACTATGAATATCAAGGCTCAGATTAGAAAGGGAAGGTATAGGTGAATCGGAGAAATCACCAGAATCATCGCTAACATTTTTGGCTTGATAACGATCTCCATTGGAATTTTTATTTGATTTATTACTTGTTGACAATTTATGTTGGTTAGAACTGATACTATGCTTATTACTACTTCTTTCACTAATTAAATCTGCAACATCTGATAGTGACACAGAACTTTGAGAATTAAGAGAGTTGTGTTTATGGCTTTCATTTGATGAATCATTTGATTTATTCATTATAAGATCTTCATGTATTGATCTTGGGCTTTGTGTCAGTTTTTCCAAAGTTTCTTTCTTAGCAGATACTGGGGGTGATGTAAAATCATAACTATATTCTGTTACTTCTGCATCTAGCTGTACAGAATCAATTTTAGAGTTTTTTATGCTTGCTTTTGAAGAAGGGTTTTGATGGCTACTTCCCGATATATTATTTTCTGAGTTACTATTTGAAGTTTCAGCTACTGATAATGATTCAAGCTTTGAATTAGAAATTGAAGTCTGAGGGGAAACCAACTTAGAATCAATCTTGTCTTCTTTTATTGGCAAACCGGTTGTATTTAGAAGGACTGCATCTACGGGATTAAATGGCTTTAACTCTACATAAGAAGTCGAATCAGTACTACTGTTATTAAACATCTTTAAATCTTGGGAATAGTTGTCAGTAAGATTATTTTTATTGGTATAATTTGCATTTCGAGACCCTAATTGTTTATTTGACTTCATGTGTAAAATATTTTGATTGACATTTGACTTAGTGTGATTGTTTATAATATATTCTGAACTATTTCTGCCTCTCATAGAAGCGCCACTGGATGTATCAGTATCTGAATTATCTAAGTTTAGCCTTAGGTCTAATTTATTTTTCTCATCTGAAGAATTATCAGACTGTGAGTTACTTGTGGTGGTGCTTGAATCTTCATTAACAATATAAGTGGAATTTTGATCATCTGAATAATAATTTTTACCTCGAACTTGTCTTTTTAAGCTATTTTTGTCATTTTGAATATGTATACTTCTGTGGTTTGATTTTATAACATTTTTTATCAGTGTTAATAGCAAAGGTTCCTTTTCTGTATCATTTTTTAAATTCAATTTATCAGCAATGATATTTTCGCCATCATATGTGTATTCTCGGCCTTGTCTTGTTTCAGTTTTGTATACAAATAAAGTATTTTTCAGATTACAAAAATTTAGGAACTCATGAATAATAGAAAGGCATAATTTACCTTCTGGTAAGAGTAATATTTTGTCCAAAGTTTCATTTTGTTTTATATTTTCACAATCATCTTCGAAGGCTAAAAAAATATTAGCTCTCAACAATGCTCGGATTTTTGCAAGAGATCCATTCTTTTCTAATGCTTCAACAACTAAATCTGTAAGCTCCGTATCTTCAGATTGTGCCATTTCAAAATTATGTTCTATCAAAGACACTGCGTTAATGTTTTCCACATATATAAAATCACAAACATAAACTCAAACAACATGCGTAGTTTGACGTTTGACAATTGACAATATCCGCGGACCGTGATCCGTCACCGTCAGACTCAGGCAACAATTTATATGACTACAGATATTATAATAGAGTTGTCACTTGTAATAAATAATATTATAGTAGATTGAAAATGATATTTATACACATTATATTATAGATTGCATATACATATGGATTATTAGAGGGAAAGTAAATATTTATTTTAATTTACTTTTTATATATTTTAAGTTAACAGTGTGATTTAGATCGATGTCCGAAGATAAGAAAAATAATAAAATATTGGTAAAAACAATAGGTGACAATGTTATAGACTAGAATATTAATATTAAATTCCATAAATAAACAATAAGCATCAAAAAATTAAAACTAAGGAATCAATTTTAAATACTGAAATACTTAAAATTAATGTATAACGTTTATCCTTGTACCTATAATAATATTGTATTAAAGTTATTTGTCATTACAAACTATATTTTATAGTCCAAAAAAAATTAGCTAGCCAGGAAGTGTATTTAAATAAATTTTATAGATTAATTTTAAAGGTGGGACTAGAAGTGATACGGGTATACCTATACAGTTTTACTTTTATACACTATGAACGTGCTCGATTACAGGGGGTGGTTTGCGCCGGGAAAATGTAGGAAATTCAGTCAGTCGGGTTGAGCACGCGCGGAAGGTTGTCGCTGCAATCTTATTTACGTTTAACGGCATAATGCAACTTTAAGGTCTTTTTTTCAATCAAATCTTAAAGTGAACAGTAAAAAATAATTTTGTTCTGAATTTACAAACAATTTTCTTGATATTTTAACTGAAAATCATTAGATTATAAGTGGCAAATTCTAGTGGCGGGAAACCGTTTGATATCTCGCTTGACGTGTTGTGTCCTATGTGTACATAGAGAAGAGCCGTCTGCCCTAGAGGGCGGCCGACATGCTGGATTCGTCGTGAATCGATATTTTTGGAACGTTGTAGAGCAGAAACCATGAGGTTTTCAGCTCAATAAAGGTAGGCACAGTGTTAAATGTAATATATTTAGCCAAGGACGTTGTAACGCACCAGTGTGTCAGTATTTTTAGCAAATGACATGCCCACGTTGGGCGCCAATAATACGGATAATTACGCATCTGATCCTATAAAAGTTTGTTTTTAGTAATTATATTTATATGTATATGGATTTTTTTATTAATAATTAATTGGAAATAATTATTAATCTAAATTATTAAATGTTTGTTTTTTTTATAGAAGTAGGTATGTCGAAGATTTCATTTCTTTTTTTTATAAAAAATATATATTTTAGAGAACACATTACAAATACCTATACGTTACTTTATTCGTTTGATTTTAGTAAAAAAAATACCTATATTATATAATTTGATTGTGTATGCCTCTATGCAAAATACGAAAATTCTAAATTAAGCATTACGAATTGTAATATTAAAATACAAACAATCTTCTAGTCATCTTATCATTCATAAAATTTAATAAAATAAAATATTTAAATAATGTGTTTTGTAAGTATTGATATCGAAATATGTTTTTAATGTGAACTTCGTATTTAAGACAGTCGGTATTTGAAGGAAAGAAATGAAGAAGTTTTATTTAATTTGCCGTCGGCATGTGCGTAGCGCGTACGCTTCAATTTGCTACTAAAATAATATATTTTTATAACTAATTACACAAATAGTAATATATTTTTAATTTTATTTGTTAATTCTATTAATATTTTTAATATAACTTTGTTCAGATTATCTCATAACGTATTCAGGTATTACTTGTAATAAAAAGTAGAATAGTTGTATTTTTACGAGGGAATAAAGTAGGCGGCCTCGGGAAACTTAAAGAAATGGGAACACCGGCTTGCTTTACAAAGCCTCTAAGAAGAATAAACAATAAACGAGTGTAAGAAATAAAAATGTACACGTTTAGCGATATAGGCCCACTAACTTTCATATTCAGAATATAATTTTATAATCACTGTAAGTAGTTTTTCTATAGTCTATTATAGTTATTATAAAATTGGGTATTTATAAATTGGTTGGTACCTATTCATATTTATTTTGCTAATGAATAAGTTGACAAAACTATTTTTACGACCTAAATCTAAATATTCTGCTACTATGCTACCTGAACTCAATAACATTTAAAAAAAATATATGAACCGTCATTATTGAGAGGAAAAGCTTTAATAACTATTCAAATCTTATATTTAGTGCAAAAATAAAAAAAAATGTTAACGGTTTTTTTAAATATCACTTAAAAGCACGAATTGTCTAATGTCTACCTCGAGTGTGGTTTTAGTCTATTAATTAAGAACCCCGCAGTGTATGTTTGAAGCTTTCCGTTAGATTTTGATTAAAATGTATTATAATGAGTTGAATACAAGAGTATATTCTTCAAAGAAAATGAGAGTTATCCGCACTGGCTCGTATTGTCGCAATTTTATTTGAAAATATAGAACATTTAGGTGTGCTTTCAGCCAAATTAAAACCAGTTAGTTCTTTTATATGAAGAACTTTGAAGTTTGATGTCAGAAATTTGTCGTAGAATACACATAATTAATCTATAAACGTTCACAGACTTTCCGCTATATCATTGACGGGGTAACCGGAGTTAATGGTGCACTACGCACTACTTTTAAATGCCTACAATTCTGTTAGTGCTATAATTAAATAATAAATAAATAATAAATATGTTGGGACATTAGCACACAGCACCATCTAGTTCCATGATAAGCTACGAGGCTTGTGTTATGGATAACAGATAGTTGATACACTACACATATATAACTTTAAATACATACATATTATAAATATAATCATCCATGACTGGAGTACAAACATTCATGCTCGTCACACAAATGAATGCCCCCCAGCGGGACTTGAACCCGCGACCGCTGGCACAGAAAGTAGCGTCACTACAAACTGAGCCAAACGTGTCGTCAAATATCAGTGACATTTTGTTAATACTAAAAATAGTATAAAATCTTTGTATTATAGTAGTCAATATAGTAGCATTTTTTAATTAAAGAAGAAATAATAATGATTTTTTACACAATGTTATCCTATCAATTTGGGAGCTCTGAAAGAGCTTAGACAATGGGACAGTGAACATTAGAAAGTTTAAATCTTCGTTTCTTTATACTTAGGTGAAAAAATTTGGCAAAATGGATATTTAAGACTTTCGTAGATGAATTATAATCTTAAAAATAAGGATCCCTATTTACTTTAGTTAGTATAAAAACAAGTGATTATACCTATTTAAGAACAAAATCGTAGTACATTATTTAAGCGCATGGTATCTACTGGAATGTAGAAGATAGTATTAATTTATAGTCATTTTAAAGATTTTTGTCTTTCTATTTCTCTGATCTGCCTATTAGAATTTAAGTGAAAAATATTTTTTTTTCAATTTTGTAGCAATATATGTTAAGTAATAATTTCAATATACATTACTATGCGGTCCATAAAGTACCTACTTCTACTATTGTTTATTAAACGACCTAATCGACCTAACGGTATGTTTAGTCGGAGTAAAATCATTGCGTAATAACTGACAATGTTGTCGTAAAAAAGGTGTAACATGACAAAATACGTCTGCTGAATTCAGTTCGTGCTCACATGGATTTAACCGGGATTATACCTTGCATTCCAGACCGTTGTAAATGTAGCTTTTGTCATACCAACAAAAGTAATGTTTGCACGTACGAAGGAAATCTTAATAAAATCCCAGCTCTAATCCAAACTTATATTAAAGTTATAGAAAGGATTGGAAAGGGGAAAATATCGAAATAGTTTTCTTCGGCCGTCTAAGCCGACGTAAACAAAGATACATATTATCATTCTTTTAGTTTTGTATTGTATAGTATGAAATTACTTTAAGGATTTGTGAAATAAATGATGATAAACGATTTAGTGAGCTTTTTTGTCTGGATAGGTAGTTAGTTGTTATTATCATTGAAAGTTTATGTTATTTTAATTTAGTTAGTTATAATCAATATTCATTGCTATATATTCTCTAAAGAACTTTATGAATGATTTAGCATTAACTATAAGATAAATATTATTTCAATTTTATAGCTACCCCTTTTTAGTGTCTTTTTTAATCTTAATACTAAAATAAGTACCTATTTCGTCACATTAAAGTATTTATATCATTTTATTTCTGCCTATATTGAGACAACATAATTAAATAGGTTCGTATAAAACTGCACTTTGTTTTAACCAGACCACTCTAAATGTTTTTAACATGAAAGTAACACCCTGCGAGAAAATGAAACCAGCCAGTCTTTAACTATTCGATACTTGTATAAAGAAATGAATGTTAATTTTACTTATGTACACAAAATAACATTTCAAACATATCTAAAAGTCCTATAAATATTTAAGCAATATACGAATAAAATGCAATAATTTTGTAGGGTATAACATTATACATCGCCTATGGATTTTTGGTCGACTACCTTCTATTAGAGAATAGAGCGGTTTATCCAATTTGTGAAAATATACGAGTATGTTACATGTATGAGTTATTTAACTGTGGGTATTTTAATATTACAATTTTAAATAAAAAAATAAACTCATAACTAGATAAATCATAACGAAATGTATACTTTTTGAATGTTTTTTCCTAGTCATTTCGGAGGCTAGGGGAAAATTTCAGTGCTACTTGTGGCCTCACGGTAGGTACACATATTTCATAGTACCTACTGTTGATAAATATCCTTTATCTATACTATAAATCTAAATGACCCTTTGCTTTTATTTGAAAATTTATAGTGTCGTCGCCTTTTCTCTTCTGTGCATTTTATCGCTTTATGAGGTCAGCTTTTAATAGGTTACAGATTCAAACAAAGTTATCGCTACCCGTTAAGAGTAAGCCACCGATGCAGTGTATAGTTAAGATTAAACAGAAG